CTTGCATATCATTGCTCTTTTGTTGATTTTGATTGCTTCTATTGTCTTCATTTGTAAGTTGCTTTGGATAAAAAAAAAAGTGACTAAGTATTGATAGTTGTGTAAATATTGACAGCTGTATGAATAATTTTTGCTTTATTGTAATCCATTACATACCTTTCTATCAAAGTTATCTGACATTATCAAGCTGAATTTGTTCTGACACAGTTTAACTGAGTTTTTGTCATTTTATTACCATTTTCTAAACTATAGTGAATAAACTGTGATAATGTGAGAAAGGTTGAAGGTGTCTGAATAAATTTTGGTTTGACTATCTATTTGATAAATGAAGTTAACCAACTAACATTATACATACTCTTTTGGTTTCTGTACCCAATATTTTAAAAATTTACAAATGCAGTGAAAGTATTGGTATCGGTACTCGGTATCGGCAAGTACCAAAAATAAAAGTATTGGTATCGGGCGAGTACTGGAAAAAGTGGTATCGTTGCATCCCTATATATATAAATAAATTTAAAAAATTTGAGGCATTAAAACTGATCAAAAGTGACACTGAAGACATCATGTTACAAAAGATTTTCATTTCATTTCAAGTTCTTCTGAACATTTTATTAATCAAAGAATCCTGAGGGGGAAAAAATATAAAAAAATTAACAAAAATATGTATTTGCACGGCTGTTTTCAACACTGCTAATACTAAGAAATGTTTCTTGAGCACCAAATCAGCATATTAGAATAATTTCTGTAGGATCATGTGACACTGAAGACTGGCGCAATAGAGTAAAGTTCAGCTTTGACATCATGGGAATAAATTTAATTTAAAAATGTATTAAAAATAGAAAATAGTTATTTTTTATCGTAAGAATATTTCACAATATTACTCTGTATTTTTTATAAAATAAAATGAAGCCTTGGTTAGGCCTACTTCTTTCCAGAAGATTAAGAAAATCTGTCCAACCCCAAACATTTGAACGGTAGTGTAAATTGTAAATGCAATTAGCTTTTAACCATTAGTTATGCATGGCTTTGGGTGTCTTATTACTTTATACTTTTTAAAAATGTATTTTAATATATGTATATTAGGGCTGGGCGATTTGGCAAAAAATGTAAATCTCAATTTTTCCAAAACGTTTGACCGATTCTCGAATTTCTTTTATTTTTTTTTTACGATTTTTAACTAGTCAACTTAAAGGTCCCCTGAAATGCTTAGAAACACGCAGCGTTACTCTGTGTTGACGTCATTTTAACTGAAACAGGAAGACAGAGCGGGACATATCAAGCAGCCCCGACCCTTTTTAAAATAGCGTTCGTTTATATCACAGCTTGGGCTAGAGCCGTTGAGCTCTGTAAAGCCGCATTTGACAGGGTATGCCAGCCACAATCTCATCCATATTGCTATAAAATATAGCATTCTGTGTAGAATTCAAATAGCTCTGATACATTTTGTGGTCTGCGCCGACTCGCGCATGTGATCCACTCCGTGCTATCATGTCTCTGGACCGGAGCAGAGTGTATAGTGCACTACATGCCATTTAGCATAAAGAAAATACCAATTCTGTGAACAAGTGACCTATTTCAGCCGCAGTTTCAGCGTCTATTTATAGTGTAGGGGGCGGGACATTTCAGATTCTAGAGAGCATTTAATTGGACAGAAAATTTGATGAGAAGCTGAAGTACGATGTGACATCAAAAATATCGTTGAGCCGTTTTGGCAGAAGTGATGAACTGCAAGCTTTGAATGCTTATATCTTCTAAATGCGAATTTTGTCACTGTTTTGGAGCACACTGCCTTATAGATAACTATATCTAAATCAAAACGTTGCAAAAGGTCAAAGTTTTAGTTCGAGATAGCAGAGAATTACTTGACGTTAAAAAGAGTTAAGTGCAATAAATTGTTATTTTACACTTAATTATTAAATTTCTGTACCTGAATACTATTTATTTTATCTATGCTTGTAAATTGTGTATTTGTTCTTTTTTTCCT